AACCCAATTACCCATTCCCCCACAAACCTAAATATATAATTTGTTTTGAAATCTGACCTTAAATCGAGGTCCAAATCCCCAATTTTTGAAAAACCTAGGTTCTACCCAAAACACTCAATTTCCCCCATGAAAATCATTGATTTTGAGTTGAAATCATGTGAAAAGATATTAATGATTGAAGAAAATGAGTTAGAATTGACTTACAATCTATTTGGAATAAGAGTTGTCTTTGAAAAATCGCCCAAGAGTGTTTTGGTTTTGAATGAGTGTGAAAAATGAAAGAATTTCGGCTAAGTTATAAAATTGCAGGTTGCAGATGTCGCAATTGCGACTAGGGTTCGCAATTGCGAACCCATATTTCTGCTATGTTCGCATTTGCGAAAGGGGGTTCTCGCATTTGCGAGTTGAAAAATGCGAACATTGTGTCGCATTTGCGACGACTGGTTAAGAGGGGAAAACATCGCATTTGCGATAGGTCCTTCGAAATTGCGAGGTAGCTGGCTTGGGCCATTGTTCGCATTTGCGACAAGGCCTTCGCATTTGTGAACTCGCATTTGCAAGTCAGGCTTCGCAAATGTGAAGCCTGCAGGCCTGCAATGCAACAGCTGAAGGTCAGCAATTTTTTCAAGTCCAAAATCCACCCCGTTGCCTATCCAAAACTCACCCGAGCCCTCGGGGCTCCAAACCAAACATGCACACCGACCTAAAAATATCATACGGACTCGCTCGCATTCAAATCACTAAAATAACATCAACAACTATGAATTTTACATCAAAATCATAAAACTTCTTAAGAACTTCAAATTTTTCAATACTCTAAAAAACGATCCGATTCATGTCGTTTCAAGTCCGTTTCTTACCAAATTTCACAGATTTTTCTTAAATCACATATAAGACCTGTACCGGGCTCCGGAACCAAAATAAGGGCCCGGTATTATCATGTTCTAAATGCATTTCATTTCCAAAACTCATAAAAATTTCCAGAAAATAATTTTTCTTTAAAAATTCATTTCTCGGGCTTGGGACCTTGGAATTCGATTCCGGGCATACGCCCAAGTCCCATATTTTTCCACGGACCCTCTGGGACCGTCAAATCACGGGTCCAGGTCCGTTTACCCAAAATATTGACCGAAGTCAACTGTAATCTATTTTATAGTCAAAATTCATCATTTTTCACAGATTTTACATAATGGCTTTTTGGCTACGCGCCTAGACTGCGCCCGCAAATCGAGGTGATGCTGAAAGAGATTTTTGAAGTCTCGAAACGCAGAATTTTATTTTAAAACAAGTAATGACCTTTCGGGTCATCACACATACTCATAGTAACAATATCCAAAGTAATTTGCAGAATTAAATTACAGAGTAAGGATAAAGGGATGTAGAAATCGATGATTCTAACTCCCAAGTAGTGTTCCACGAGCTATTCTTGCCTCCGATTGCAAAAAGTCCTTCAAAGTGGCATTTTTGGGTCTATTTATATGCTTAGGACAAGACCTAAATGTGTAGGTCAAATCCTAGTCAAGCCGGAAAATAATTTAAGTCTTCAAAACTCGGACTAGACCTGGCCCCAGGCCTGGCTTCGCCAGCCTAACGCTAGCCTCGTCAGGCTGAAGTCTGGTTCAGCCTGGCCTTTGGCTGGCTTCGCCAGGCTGAAGCCTGGTTGAGCTGGCTTTTGTCTGGCCTCTCCTTTTCAGTGTTCTCGAGCGCACTTTCAACGTTTAAATATTCCTTTTGCTCTACTTTCATCTCCAATTCACCTACACATAAAATAAATTCCATTACGCGCAAATAAAGTGTAATTTATCATTAAAGCATGTAAAATACAAGGCACATAATGTGCTAAACCATGAATTATAGCCACACATCATTAGTCCTATTACAATTCTGTTTGAATTTGGTTTCGAAGTTTACTTTAAAAATCTTTTAGAAATGCAATTTGGTGATATTGTTAAAAAAATGGCATTGAAGATTTGGATCCAAAGAAGCTAGGAGAACTTTAATTTTAGAATTCCTTTAATTATTGGAAAACAATCGCCAATATGGACAATAATACCGTAGTATAAGCTAATTAAGTAGTTTTCAACTTGCAAATGATATAGCAAGTCAAATTTCAGAAAAAGAGAGAATCAGATATATAGCGTTAATTGATACTTAATTTGAATGATTACTTAGTATATAATTTTTAATGAGTCAATTATTAGTAATATTCTTTTATATTTTGGCAAACGAGCTACGTGCAAAAGTATGATGGACATGATTGACATTTTGATTGGTTTCTGAAATAATTAGCTTATCATATAAGTAGAAGACCCATGAGACATGCCCCGAGTTTCATTCTCCTAAATAAAAAAGAAATTCAAGAATATATACGTTCCTGTTTTCATTCAAGTGGTCAACTAACTTAACCATACTTCAACTCAGGTTTTCGGCTGCACATTCGAAAAAACAAAACTACAACAACCCAAAACAAAAAACACACACACACATAAAAAAAAAAAAAAAAAAAAAAAAAAAAAAAAGCCAGAAAGAGTTTAATTTTAAGTTTTATCCACTATAGTATTTATTTAATATCAAATTATAATTAAAAATATTCAGGATTTTACATTAGGAATGTGACCTACTACTACACCCGCTAAGTCTTTATATCTATTATGGATGAATTAGTATAGAATATATACCTATAAGAGTATAAGTTTTATATATCGATAATGTAAAAGTATTTGCATAATTATGTTGATTATAAAAGGTAAAGGGGCGGATTTATAGGGTTAATTATGGGCACGTGAACCCATGGTTTCTCCATAAAATTAGATATTTTATGTATATATTTTGTGAAATTGGTATAATATTAATTGTTGGCACTCATGTTCCAAGAAGGTTTAATGATGCACTTAGTTGAATGTTGAGTATTGACCAAGAGGTATAATGATCAAATCCCACTTGATATATTTTTCCTTCTTTTTTTAGTAGTGTGTTCATGTACTAGAAATCTTAGATCTGCCTCTTATATATAAATAAAATTTTATAAATGCTAGTATGTATAATAAAAAAATTAATCTGTTGATACATATTATATTACACTATGTGTTTAAAATCCTTATAAAACTTAAATCTTAAAATCAACTATGTAAAAAAGCTAGTGGAATACACACACTATTCCGGCATAAAGTCACGTGAGAGAGGGGATCGAATCCATTTAGTGCCGCCGCAAATCAATGATTCTGTACCACGCGCAGCTGTCCACGTTGGATAAAAATCTTTTTCGCACGCCGCAGCCACCTGATCTCCGCCGTAACCTCCGCCGTAATCAAGAACCTTTACTTTATCCTGTGCATCAACGCATGCTGAGTTGTTGACTGTTGCAACTTGCAAGAATTTAAATTTGTGTACTTAATTTATTAATTTTTTGGTTCTTTTTGTGTGGAGGCGGATATATTAATCCGATCCTTTATAGAATGCCTTCAATGGCTTCCTTGCGAAAACTCCTATCATTAGTCGTCTATGGAGATCTTGCATCCGGTATTGATTCAGATTTGTAAAAAAAAATTGTTATAGAGGATTATAGTGTTCTTTATCAAAAAGATTCTATCTCATGCATTTAAATTTAAACTTTCTGATTAAGAATGAAAGAGCGTTTATCATCCGCCATCGTTGTTGGTGTGAATGCATATTGCACAGTAGTTATTATTTTTAAAGTACAACATCAGCAGTTTAAGTGGATATTAGAAAAAGGCATACTAAATTTCCCTATAATAACAAAAGCATAACATGTCAAATGCAAGGTCCTCATTAGATTAATTACCACATATTTTCTATTAAAAAAAAAAAAAGCAAAATACATCGATAACCATTAAACTTGTTCTTCCTTTTCACTATGACATTTTATTTTGAGTCTGTTCCAATTAAACCCTATAACAAGATTATTACTGTGTCACTTAGACATAAAAAACACACAAACTTTTATAAGCCAAGCGTGTATATATAAGCGCTACTAACGTGTAATAGCCGACGAATAAATTTAGTCCATGTAGAATTATTGTCCACGTAAGATTCATGTGTATCGGGTAAATCCAAGTCAAACAAATCGGGTTCAAGATTAAACTGCCCAACCCGTATAATTACTTTTAATCTTTACAGCTCTCAATAAAAAAAAAACCTAACCTCATCCCCATCTCCGTCTATCCTCTTCCCCTTCCAAAATCGATTGCTCCATTAGAGATATTATGGAATCATCTGCTGCTTTTCATAAATGATTGAAGTTAACAATCTGAAGTTCGTACAAATTTCGATCTCGTCTTCGTTTATCATCTGCAATTTTTTATCTGAAGAAGTTGTGAAGTCGATTATTTTAGGTGGCCTTCAGCAAGAGTGTTGTCTCGAGTTACTCCTTTACTGGTATGTCTCGAGTTACTCTTTTACTGAGAATTTTAGTTATTTATTAGGGTTTTTGTGTTAGTAATGGTGTTTTGGGAATTGTAGATATAAAAATAGGCTTTTTATTTCTTTTTTCGAATCTTGCTGACTGTGCTCACGTGTTGCTTTTTTTTATTCACTTTAGGTTAAAATCATGTTAGTGGATGAATATATTCTTATCCGCTTTCACCATAGTGGAACATTTACCGAATCTCCAGGTGCCAAATATGTCACTAATATAGAGATAAATCAGTTTTCTATTGACAAAGACCATTTCTCCCTGTTTGAACTTTAATATTACACAAGGGGGTTGGGTTATGCAACTATTGGGGTTTTTTTATGTCTTTAACCCTGATTCCAAAGAATTTGTCATGGTGGAAAATGATAAACAACTATATAATATTTCTTGTTACTGTAAGGAAGGTATTTTAGACTTGTACATTTCACATGTTGTTGAGATAATTCCTGATAGAGTAGTCCCAATTGGATAATTATGTGGGCCAGAGGTTGTTGAAGAAAGTAACAACACAATAAATAATCCATCTAGGGCAACATTAGAAGATGGTCCAGATAGTATAAATGGACCACAACCTGTTGAACAACCTATACTTGAAGAGTTTGAGACTGTTATTGGTGGGGAAGGGGTCGCTACTGGTGGGGAAGATTTTTCTGGTAATGTAGAAGAGGAAGTTGCTAGTATAGAGAATCTAAATGGTGGAGAAGAGGCTGGTGAAGAAAAGGTTGCTTCAGAGGTAGCTAGTAGTAAGTCAGATCTTGATGAACTTCCCGATGAGGCTGATAGAAATGAAATGGAGAAGAAAGGAGAAAACAATTCTGGAGGGTTGCAACGGCTAGCTATCTGTTTAAGTACAACAAAGAAGTTGCAAACATGAGGAAACTTAGCTCAACTATATGTGAAGACATGATGAAGTACCCAAGAGAGTCATGGTGCAGGGCATTCTTCCAAGAATATTCCAGATATGACATAGTAGAGAATAACATGTGTGAGACTTTTAACTCATGGATATTTACTGCTAGGCACAAAAGTATTGTTACCATGTTAGATGAAATTAGGCATAAAATCATATCTAGACAGGTTGATATAATAAAGTTTGATGAAATATGGATTTCAAATATATCACCTATGGCTAGGCTAACATTAGAAGAAAACAAGGATTTAGCTAGACAGTGCCAAGTTATATAGAATGGGCAGGATGGATTTGAAATCAAAAAAGGAGATTTGAGGTTTATAGTTGACACTAGGATGAATACTTGTAGTTATAGATTTTGGAGGTTGAGAGGCATCCCATGTGAACATGTTGTGTGTGCATACTATTACCTACAAGATGATCCAGATCAATATGTGGAGCATTGGTACACAAAGGAAACATTTCTGAAGGCTTATGAACACTTCGTTCAACCAATTCCTAACCTGAAGATGTGGCCTAAGAGTTATAATCCTACCATTGAACCACCAGCCCCAAGGCCAATGCCAGGCAGCCCCCAAAGAAATAGAAGGAAGGAAAGGAATGAACCTAAGAAAAAATGGTGAAAGTTGTCCAAAAAAAGAGTCAAGATGACATGTTCATAATGTCATCAAGTAGGCCACAACAAAAAAAAGCATGTACATCAAGGGTATGATATGTTTTTATCTAACTTTCTATTAATCATTTAAGCTGAAATTAACTATATGTATGTATTCATTTTAGGTTGCACCTAGAGGGTCATCAAGTAGACAAGAACCACAAGGAAGTCAATCAAGCCAACCAACTCAAAGGAGTTCAATCTACGATGAAACAACAACAACTATTAATAGATGAAGGGGCAGGGGAAGAGGAAATGCACCTAGTGCAGCTATTAGACCTAAAAAAGATGTATTTCCAGATGCACTTCCTTAGACTGCTCCCAGGGAAAGATCCCCAAAATCAAAGGCAGCAAGAGGGTCTTTATCTACTGGAAAAGGGGGAAGGGGAAGTTGACCTGCAACTGCAAAATTATCTGTTGCTTTTGGGGAAAAAAGGCCAAGAACTAATGGCTTTAGATGCTACACTAACACAGAGATTGGAAGGACATTCCTTAGTGTAAGAATCTTGATTTCTGGTTTGGTTTCTGGTTTTGCAACCTGATTTCTGGTTATTTTTGCAGCCTGGTTATTTTTACTTACTTAGGTTTCTGATTTTGTACAATTGCAGCCTGATTTATCAAGTGAAAGGGTTAACAACTATGAGACTAAAGTAAGGAGCATCACTGATGTGAATCTGGATGATGGAATTAGGCTTCTAGGACTTAGATGGAATGGGAGAGATGTTATTACTACTTCGCAACTACAGCAAATGAGTGCAAGTAAAAGAAAACAAGTTGGAACACAAGCAGCATCTCAGTCTTCAACTCAAGTGATCATGGATAAACTAGCCAAAAAAATTAGTAACCAATCAAGATTATGTAATATGTAGCACTTGTTTTTGTTAAACCTTGATTTTTTTTGTTGAATGTGGTTTGCTGCACTCACTGGTATCTTTTGAAACTGGATTATATAATATGACATCACTTCTTTGATTTACAATGAACTAAGTTTCATTCCTTTTGTACTATTGTAATATGCACTTCTGTAATTTGCAGCACTTCTTTTAGTAGTTTTTGCAATGAAGTAAGTTCCATTCCATTCATAAGACTAAAAAACTGTAAATGAAATTTTTTTAACAAAAATAAAGATATATTGCATTGATAAGGCAGTATCAATTACACAAAATAGGATCCCTACCACCAAGTACAGCAGCAATGAACAAAAGTGGAGCAACAATTTCCAACACTAACTACATTAACTAGCCTAAATTACAAACGATTTTTTTAGAAACTTGACTCAGCCCATCAACAAAAGCAAGAACCACAACAAAGTCATATGATTAAGGCCACTAGTAGAACAACAAACACTACTGTGTTCCTCCATTTTTTTGCTCGATCTCTTTCTTGATCAAATGCCTTCACTCTCTTCAACAAACCTCATATAACTTTATTCGCTTACTCAGGAAATTCGTCCTCAAACCATCTAAAATATTTACATCCCCCATTGTCCTTCAAAAAAAAATGAACTAATATAAGTCAATGGCAAATAAAATCGTATAAAAAATTTTTGTGTGAAAAACACTTACTTTGCCAATTTTGCATACAAAGTACCTTCTTCCTGGGTTAGCATCACTCCATGAAATTTCAGTTCACACGGACGACCACAACGACACCAGTCAACCCTTTTGGTGCTTTGAAACATTATTCGAACAGAAATTAAGAGAAGTAGCAGGAAAGATTACGTCAAAAATTCGACTAAGGAGGATGGAGTTCTTTCAAATTGAAAAAAATAAAGCTTTGATTTTCACTTCTTGATGAAGAATTTAGCTTAGTTGAAATGGAGAGAAATTAGGGCTTGGGAGAAGATAATGATGGAGAAAAGGGTTAAAATAAGGAAAATAACGTGGGGTTTGGTTTATTACTGTTGGAATAATCCATGTCAGCTTTTTTAATAATCCTCATGTGCTAAACATCTGTGATTCCCACGCAAGGTGGCCCATGTATTTTTTGTGTCTAAGTAACACAGTAATAACCTGTTATAGGGTTCAAATGAAACAGACTCAAGATAAAGTGTCATGGTGAAAAGGAAAGACAAGTTTAATGGCCTGCCGATGCCGATGTATTCTGCCAAAATAAATAACTCATCGAAAAGCTAATGATGAGCAACACATGCATTTTAATTTCGTTAAACTTGTGGTTAGGAGCTAATGAAGATGTTAATATTATCTCTAATCATTTCATTAATTAAAAAATAATCACTTCTTATGTTGTTGTTGTTGGTGATCTCTCGTTGAAAGACTCAATCAAACCCCATTTATTTATTTATCATTAAGTATAATACTTACAATCGTGCCACTAAATTGAAGCCAATGCTAAAAACAAAAGTTGAAATACCAAATAGTTGCATCTTGAATTGGACCATTTCCATTTTCCACAAGCCCCTCCACTGCCCTCAAACACTATCATGTGACTACCCCATGATTGTTTGCAATTAAATTACTACAAAACGATTTGACTATTGCTTATTTATTGTATCATAAATTCATGTATATACATTGTACTAGCCTATTAAATTTAGAATTTCTGACATCTGTCTTTTTCTAAATATAATATTCACGTACTTCTTCCAACCTCATTGACACAGCCCTTATATTATTGTCTTCGGCAAATTTCTTTTAAAATTTATCCTTCGGTGGCATAATTTGGATAATTTTTACTGGTTTATTTTCAATTTCAATTTCCTTCTTGAAAAATAACTTCTTAGGAAAAGATTGCGACAGAGTGTACGAGTTACACATATACCTGTGATGATTTTGTATACCTCCGTATCAATGTAGGTGGTAAATAAGAGGAGTTAAACTTAAATCATTTAGAATAGAATTATCTTGATAAATCTCTTAAAATCTAAAACAAAATTTAGTTTAAGAACATAGTGGACTAAGGGATTGGTTGGTTACCCCGATAAGGATATTAATTTCGAGATAGAATATGATATTGTATTTAGAAAGAATTACAAGAAAATACACATGACTTCACACCATAATAAAAAATGGCCAATGATTTTAAGTTTTACCCAACCTAGCCTATATTGTATATATTTTGGAAGCACTAGCAAATTCAAAACTTGTGTTCTTACAATCATTGCTTCTAAAAGCTATGGAGTTAAATATGTGTTATCACAATCATTACTTTCACTCTCTCTTCTTCTCACATCTTCTACATATGTTTCAAAAGGCCATCTGCCATTGCTGCTTCTTACCCTGTGTCACCTGGTTGCAATGTAAGAAAATTGAAGAGTAAAACTCCACCATTAAACCATTCAAAGCTTTGCTTTCGAAAATAGGATTTTTTTGAGTTTGTTAGTTATTTGGATTGGGTATCGTTCCAATCGATTGAAAATATCAAAAGGAGTTCAAAATTTATATTTGAAGTGATTTGGAGTAGATTTGAGCAAGATTTGAGTTAAATTTTAGAAAAGACGCAAGGAAGAAGTCGAAGTCAGTTTTTTGTATAATTATGTATAATCTTGTATAATAGTGTATATGAGTATATAAACACATCTTACACCCTATTATACATTTTTATACACCTTTATACAAGCATCTGTAAATGAACATCTTCCATAATTTTCAGTTGCAATTCTTGTTCAAAACAAGTCCAAATCTCCATTAAATGACTTCAAATTTTATATACAACCCCCTTATACTATTTCTAACAAGTCTAAATAACACTCACTTCAAATTTCTCACAAATTCAAATTCGAAATTTAAACCCACATGTTTAAGCTTGTTAAAAATTTAATTTTCACCATCCAAATGGATTTGGTTTGTTGAACTAATATTTGGGTCACAGTTACCGATTCGAAAATTAACTTAAAAGCTTGAGCAATCTTTTTTAAAAATTAAATAGTAATTTCTAGAATCTATTGGAGTTGGATGTTGAATTTTAGCCTATTATTTTTGGGCTAGTTGGTTGTAAACTGAAATATGGGCTATAAAATTGAAAAGCACGGAGCTCAGTTGTTCTTATGTGAAATTTTTCCTTGTATTTATCCTATGTTTGGTTATAGGTATTAACTAATGACGAGATTTATCTTATACCAAAATAATAAAATTAACTATCCCATATAAAAGTGAGATAGTTAATCCCATAGAGTATCCTTGTCTATCACAATTGAACCTTGCGACCCCTAAAGGTTTAATATAGGTAGTACCAATCAAAAAGGCAGCCCGGTGCACTAAGATCCCGCTATGGACACGGCCCAGGAAAGGCTGGATCATAAAGGTCTATTGTACGCAGCTTTATCATATATTTATGTAAGGGGTAGTTTCCACGACTCGATAAGTAGTACCAATCGACGGATAAAATTTGTTATTGGTGGAATAAGACACATACGTACTATTCGTTGTTTGACCAAAAAGTGTAAAACTTTTTGTTAAAGTAATTAAATAAAAAGATAATGGGTTAATTCTAGTTAAAAATAATAAACTTGGATCTAAAACAGGTTTAAGCAAATAACATGGGGGCCATGTGAAAATGGATTCAATGCATCATACATTAAATGTTATGGTTACTAATAGAGTGAGGATAATGATAAGAAATAAATAGAATAAATGGCACTAAATGCAAATAAGGAGGAAGATTTACCCAATATTGAATGAAGTTTGTTCGCATCCTCGAGCGAAGTTTGTTCTTCCTCGATTGCTCAAAAGTTCCTTCAGATATCCTTGGTGAAGCATGTTCGCGACCTCTTTCTTGAGAGCGATGCAGTCCTCGGTTTTGTGGCCTCGTTTCTGATGGAACTCGCTAGGGCGTTTGACTTTCTGGTGTTTGGGTCAGACTTTATCTTCTACACCCATTTCACTTTTGGGCCGAGTTTCTCTAGGGCGCAGACTATTTCTGAGGGAGAAGCACAGAAATTGTGAGCAGATAAAAGTGGAGGCATACCTCTTTCGCTTCGGTGAGTCCCTGTTGACGGCCTGGATGGGCTGTCGCCATGACGGGGAGGTGGTATGATGGCAACTCTGACATATGGTTGATGTCTTTCACGGTTGAGTCGCGGGCCTGCATGGTCCTTTTTGTTGTCATTTCTTCGGTCTCTCCTGGATTCCATCTGGACTGAGGTCATCCGTTGAGTTGGCCCGTTGAGGTCGTCCTCATCAACTCGCACTTCGGCACAGTAAGCGTTGTGTATCTCGTCCCAAGTGGTTGGGGGATATTTCATGAGTCAGCTTAACAATTTTTTGGTCGCCTTTGAACCATTCCTATTTAACCCGTTCTAGAAAGTTGCTACTACCATTCCCTCTGACACATTTGGTAAGGTCATCCTCACACGGTTTAATTGCGCGAGGAAATCTATTAGTCCCTCACCGAGTGATTGTTTGATGGAAAATATGTCATTCACCTTCGCCTCTACTTTATTAGCCTCGGCATGGGCAGTCACAAACTTGTCGGCATTTCCTCAAACGTTTCAATTGAGTGTGCGGGCAGCTGTGAATACCAAGTTAGTGCTCCCCCGGTGAGGGTTTTGCCAAACTTCTTCAGTAATATGGAGGACACTTGTTCTTTGGCGAGATCGTTGTCTTTTACTACGGTGACATAGTGGGTCACATGATCCTCAGGGTCCGTCGTGCCATTGTATATTTTCAAGTACGATGGTATTTTGAAGGTTTTAGATATGGCCTGTGGTACAGCTTCTTCACTGTACGGTTGCTTAACGAGCTGGCCGACATCCCTTTTTGGTAAGAGTTTTGGGGCGCCTGGTATTTTGTCTACCATTTCTTGATGCTTTTCATTTAGTCACGAAGCATTTTATTCTCATTCTTCATTTCCTCCATCTTCCTCAAAATGGTTGTGAAGGTGTCATTACCTACATCACTAACGTCGTGAATAATACCTGTCACAAGAGAAGGGTCGTGCTGCTCGTCTGTCACTGGTGTGATGCAGACTCTCGCAGTTTCTCTATTCGTCCTTT